CAACATTTTAACATTGACTCTATATCCCATTTAAACCTAACAATTTCTTTTACCCATTTTACAAATATAGGGCCTAATTCCATCTTATCCATTATTTCAAATAGTGTTTGCCAATTAACTGTATTGAATGCTTTTTCTAAATCTATAAAAACCATTCCTAGACTCTTTTCATTATGTCTTTCGTAATATTCTAATACATCTAAAACTATCCTTAGATTTTCTCTAATTTCTCTTTGTGGTAGAAAACCTCTTTGGTTTTCATCTATCCAATTTTTTTAAATATGTTTGAGTCAATTTGCTAAGATGTTAGTAAATATTTTATAATCAGTATTTAAGAGAGAAGTCGGTCTGTAATTCGCTACTTCCAAATTTGTTTTTCCTTCTTTAGGAATTGCTACAATTTCAGCTTCTTTCCAAGTTGGTGGTAGACTCTCTACCAAAATAGCATTCATAACATTTTGTAACAGTAATCATAATTCTTCTATAAAAGTTTTATAAAATGCAATGGTAAACCTATCAGAGCCTGGTGCTTTCCCTTTTTAACATTTTTATTGCATCTTTGACTTCTATGATGGAAATTGGGTTATTCAAATTTTCTGATTGTTCTTGGGTTGGTCTCTGGTATTCTTGTTTGTCTAGGTACTAGTTTGTCTAGTTTGTCTACTTCTATCCATTGAGTTTGATATAATCTGGAATAGAATCTATGGAAGGCTCTTTTTATTTCTTGTTAATACTTCCCCCCTTCTTTTATTTCTGTTATTGCTTTTCTTCCCTTTTTCCCTTTAATTTTTCCCCATTAAAGGGGAACCATTTCCCCATTTTATTAGCAAATTCACTTTTTTTGTTTTACTGTTTTGTAATTTATTTCCTATTTCTGTTGTCTCTTTTCTGATTCCTTGTTTTTTTAATATTTTAGTTCCTCTAATATTGTTTCCCCCCCCCTAAATTGCTAGCCAACTCTTTTTCTTTTTGAATTATTAGATTTTTTATTTCTTCTTCTTTATCCCCCCTTTTTTTATATAAGCTTCTTGACTTATAAAATACCCTCTAAATATGGCTTTCTCAGCTTCCCTGACTGAAGTCATTTTAATGTCATCTATTATGTTTTCTTTAAAAAAAGTTTTTATATTCTCTCTGGTTCTGGCTAACACTTCTTTATTTTGAATCAGGATGTTCTTTAATTTCCATTGATACTGCTTCGGTTTTTCATGAAGTACTAACACCAGTGCATTGTGATCTGATATCCTTCTGGGTAGTATTTGAATTGCTTTAATGAATCTACTTATCATTTTCAATAACCAAAACATATCAATTCTGGATAGTGATCCATGCCTATTGGTGTAGAATGTAAACCCCTCTGCGTCTTTATGCCAATATCTCCACACGTCCAGCAACATAAAATCCTCTATCAACTCAAAAAAGGTTTTTGGGAGTTTCCCTTTACAAAGTAAGTTTGTTATTTTTGGATTTTCTGTCTATTTTGGGGTCTGTCACTCCATTAAAATTTCCCAATAGTAACACTTTTTCACATCCCAATCCAGCAATTTCATTGTGTATCTTATGGTAAAATAATCCTTTATTTGTTTGAACACCATATATTTCTACTACCACAAGGATTTCTCTGTTCCAATTTATTTTCACCCATTT